TAATTAGCCTCCAACAAATAAAAATAAATGGAAGAAAAAAAAAATAAAAATAAAAAATTTTAAAAAAAAGAAAAAAAAAAAAGAAAGAAAAAAAAAACTTTACAAATAGTTTTAAAGCATCCATCATACTTCTGCCTCTTGAAAAATGTTTCTCCATTTTTAATGCAATTCTCTCTTACCTAGTATTTATTGATTCCTTGCTAAATGTCCTGACAATATGCAAATCAGGTATAAGTCTCAGTTTTACTATCTGAAGCATAAAAACAATTACAATTCAATATGATAAGTGAACAGAAGTTAGTAATGTATTATCAAAGTGAGAGAATAGTATATATGCTATATATGCTAACAGCAAAGAATTCTGTGACTAAGCTTATCCCTATATTTTCAGTGAGTGTTTATTGAATCCCATAACAGAGTCATTTAGAAAACTACTATCAGGATGGTACAAATGTAACTGCAGTTTTTGCATTGTTGAATTTGCTGTTTGATGATGGAATACATTCTAAATAAATGTGGCTATGTTATACATCATTTGAATGCACATTTCTAGCTTTAGTTTTTTTTTTTTTTTCAAGACTTATTACTTGCTATTTATTTTATATTTACTTTAGACTAGGGAAATGATGTTAGATGAAAAGCAAATTCAAGCAATTTTCTTATTTGACTTTAAAATGGGTCATAAAGCATGGAGACAATTCACAACATAAACAATGCATTTAGCCCAGGAACTGCTAATGAATGTACAGTGCAGTGGTGGTTCAAGAAGTTTTGTGTAAGGAGATGAGAGCTTCGAAGACAAGGAGCTCAGTGGCCGGCCATTGGAAGATGACAACGATCATTTGAGAGAATCATTGAAGCTGATCCTCTTAAACTACACAGGAAGTTGCTGAAGAACTCAACATAGACCATTCTACAGTTGTTCAACATTTGAAGCAAACTGGAAAGGTGCAAAGCTCAGTAAGCAATTAAGTGAGTGCCTCATAAGCTGACTAAAAATTTAAAAAAAAATCAATGTTCTAAAGTGTTGCTTTCTCTTATTCCACAAAACAACAACAAACCATTTCTTGATCAGATTGTGATGTGGGCTGAAATTTATATTTTGTGGTGGCACTGAATGTAAATGTCATTAATCAGATGTGCTTTTTACAGAAAGAATCCTTTATGAAATATTTGATATACATGAAATACTTGAAAGGCATATTTGGTGGTGGTTACTGGACTCACCAAAATGATTATTTCCTCTCTGAAAATATCTACCCCAAGATTTTGGTATATAGCAACTCCTTGGTTCATAGAAGTATTTGCTTAAAGATGGTTAACTTTATGACTTTGAGGTAAGATAAAGGAATTGACTTTGCAATTTATAAGCTCTTGATACATAATGGTAGGAGTAAGGTAGACTGAATTTTTAAAAAACTAGAATGGTAGACACATGTTACAATATGTATCCCCCAAATCTCTATGAGCCTACTTCAAAAGAGCTCATCATACTTTGTCCAGTCATCAGATCCATTATGCATACTGGTAGTTGTTCAAATCAAGAGGAGACTGCCAATTTCACAAAGCACCTTAACTGCAATAAAACACACGCACAAGGCAGGTGAAGTAACTTGAAAAAAAAGTTTGTGGCACTGTCTCATATGAAGAGCTTCAGTGTTCATTTTAAGAATAATCCAAACCCCTGTTAAATATTTATTTACTTATCTAAATTAAAGATGGTAAATCTTAACTTAGTATATTTATAGTTCATAAATATACTGTCTCTAACTTTAAATGTTCATCCAAAAGTCAGTTTAGAATACGTATGCCCATGGAAGTGATGTTATAAGATTGCTTTCAAATTAATTCACAAAAGTCTGTTGCAATGAACACTAGGGATCATTTTAAGATATGGGAAATGTTCCAGAATTGAGCAGTGACAAGAATTCCACGACTCTGTAAATTTAATAAAAATTTTGAGTTTTTCACTTAAAATGAGCATATATCAAGGTATATAAATCATATCTCAACAAAGCTATTTTCTTAAGGACTATTTAAACAATTAAGTACATAAATCTTGGGTTTTTTTTTTATATAATAGTGACCTATACTTCCATAAATGGCAAATTCCATCACTTCATGGCAAATAGATGGGGAAACAGTAGAAACAGTGGCAGACTTTATTTTTCTGGGCTCCAAAATCACTGCAGATGGTGATTGCAGCCATGAAATTAAAAGACGCATACTCCTTGGAAGGAAAGTTATGACCAAACAAGACAGCATATTAAAAAGCAAAGACATTACTTTGCCAACAAAGGTCCATCTAGTCAAGGCTATGGTTTTATCAGTAGTCATGTATGGATGTGAGAGTTGGACTCTAAAGAAAGCTGAGTGCTGAAGAATTGATACTTTTGAACCATGGTGTTGGAGAAGGCTCTTGAGAGTCCCTTGGACTGCAAGGAGATCCAACCAGTCCATCCTAAAGGAGATCAGTCCTGGGTGTTCATTGGAAGGACTGATGTTGAAGCTGAAACTCCATTACTTTGGCCACCTCTTGCGAAGAGTTGACTCATTGGAAAAGACCCTGATGCTGGGAAAGATTGAGGGCAGGAGGAGAAGGGGATGACAGAGGATGAGATGGTTGGATGGCATCACCGACTCAATGTACATAGGTTTGGGTGGACTCCGGGAGTTGGTGATGGACAGGGAGGCCTGGCGTGCTGTGGTTCATGGGGTCGCAAAGAGTTGGACATGACTGAGCGACTGAACTGAACACTTCCATAAAACTAATTAGTACAGTTAAATTGTCCCTAAAAACTCACATAACAAATAGTAATTGGTTTGATTTACTAAAATGAATATATTCTGAACTGTAGCCTTAACTGGAGGTAAGGTTAATTAGGAGAGTAACAATTCTATTGCAAAATGGCTTTCCTATTTCAAATAATTTAGAGTCAAATTCATTTTTCCCTGATCTTGGATTACCACAATTTCAACTGTACTGATCACTTGTCCACAATATTTTTTAAAGGGTATTGTCTTTTAAGGAAAAATAAAATAAAAGAGCTCTAAAGTGGTACAATTGTCCATCCTTCTTATCTTGGTTACTATCTCATCATCCTTAGGTTTCTCCAGGAAGACAGATATGGTGAGTCATGAAAGAGAAAATGTTACTGCTACTTCTTAGACTAGAGCTTGGGGAGATGGGCCTGTGTGATTTCAGTTAGCTGGCTCTTTTCACAGAGGCAGTTGTCAAGAAATTTTATCCTCAGTTCACTGATATATCCCAAACACAGTGCCTGGTACACACTGGACCTTCCATTAAAATTTTATTGTTATCTTTTGATCACACTGGGTCTTAAAGTATCAACTAAATAAATAAACGCAACTTCCAGTGGTCTTCAGATATCTCACAGTGACCCTTTTCTTGTCAGAAGCCAATTGGCCCCTTACTAAACCAGTTTCTTCCAAGCCTAAACCTTAAATGGGGGGCTCCCTCAAATGGGAGGGGTAGTCTGATAAAGGAGCAAAGGGTTAGGAAAAGTAATTCTTCCTAAAATGCAGAAAGAAGTTCAGGAACCCAAAACGACTGCTGGCTCATATATGGTAACTTTTACAAGGAGAATTTGCCTCCAAGTCAAAATCAAGACACACATGTGGCAAGTTCAAGCTGACCAAAATGGCTGGTAATTTTAAACCAAACATACTCAGTGTTTAATACAAACAGTTAATATGAACATCCTGTTCTATTTTCCTAAGGGTTTTATATACATACATATATATATATGTATATATATATATATATATATAAAATAGATTATATATATAATAGAGTCTGTAGAAAATGTCTTGGTACACAAGCTAAACATCAATCTCATGTTGCAAGAATAAGTAACTATAAGCAGAGCTTTATTTTTTCCTGGGAGACAACAGGGAAATTCTAAAGATGCAAATATATGAACCTTTCAAAATTTGTAAGTATTGATGGCACCAGAACTCCAGTATGTCTATTTTCAATTCAAAATTTCTGCCTTTATTTAACAAATACATATAAAGCACTGTTCTTACTTTCATCCAGAATAATTTGTGGTTTTGGACTTCAAATTGAGGGAGAGATATAAAAACTTCCCTAACTTAAAGAGGAAAGTGCAAGGAGATTTAAAATGATAACCAATGACCAAAAAATAAAAAAGAATGTAGGGAAAATGGTAGAAAGAAAAGGTGTCTACCAATACTGCTTCATGACAACCTGATATTATTAAAAAAGAGAGAAGATAAGGAAAACAGCAAACACTCCACATTTAGTAGAAGAACAGATATTTACATATGAGAAAGATTTTTCTTTCTTATTAAACATGCTTTTTTTTTAATTTTTCACTTATAACTTACATGATCTATTTCCTCCTGGACAACCAGAATCCACTGAGCTACTCTATCAATAGAAAGTTCAATATGATCTTTATTCTATCTCAAATCAGGGTTAAGACATGAATTTCACAAAAATTTTAGCCTATGCCTTGTCTTCCCGTTGGTATTTATGATAGCTCATCAAATTTGATCATATTACTTAAATATGTTAGACCATGGTTTTATAATTATTAATAATATATACTTTTTAAAACAATGATTCATTGTGAATAAAATAATTCAATATATATTCTGTAAGTATGAATTTCAACTCTTTTAAAATAATTTAATACAGACTTAGAAAGCCACATATTCGGGACTTCACTGTCAGTCCAATGGTTAAGAATCCATTGTCCAATGCAGGGGACATGGATTAGATGTTCATTAGAGGACTAAGAGCCCACATGCCCCGGGGCAAGTAAGCCCATGCACCTGCACCGCAAATAAAGAGAAGCCCATGCACTGCAACGAAGAATCTGTGTGCCACAACTAAGATCTAGCACACCCAAATTTTTTTTTTTAATTTTAAATTTTAAAAAAAAGGCGTCTTCCAAAAGGATGGCACCAACTGACAGAAAAAAAAAAAAAAAGCTACAAGTTGCTTCTCTTACCATTCAGTAAACAAGACAACCAGATCCTCTTGATTGGCATAATGTTTCATGACTTCTTTCATCAATCTCACTTTTTGGCCTCCTCCAATAGTATTAATTCCATCACCACCTCTCCACTCTTCTCCTTGACCAAGGACCTGTAAATGAAATCAACATTTTATCCTTGGGCAAATCTCAGGTTATGAAGTGTCATAAACACTGGAAGTCACCAGCAGTTTGTACAATATAACATAGCACCACTCTTTAAATGCTACACTCATGATGCTAGACAGAAAAAAACTTGATGCCTAGGTCAGGTCATAATTCTTTAATGTTATCCACCCCATAAAATGCCATTCTCAATTTTAACATTTCAAAAGTAGACACTAATCCAAGGAAGTTGGGGATTGATGAGGGAAGCCACAGAAAGTATTTCTTATATCTTATTTCTCTTTATTCAGACTGAAATGAAAAGGAAAGAAAATGAAGAAACTCAATCTGGCAAGAAATCTGTCTGATGAATAAGGGGGAGCCCTGGAAGCTCAGTGAATCCTGGATGGAGCCCTTGAGCTATTTCCCTGCTGACACCAAATTGGTTATCCCAGGAAACACAGAGGGCATCAGGTCAAATGCCATCATCCTTACCTTAAGAATCTTAAGCTCATGTTTCCCTCAAAAGTTTAATTATTTATCAGTGCAAGAAATCACCTAAGCACAATTACTCAGAGATAAACCTGAGTCATCCTGGGTTCTGTTTGCCCAGCCTCAGCAGTTGCTTCCTGAACTGTGTGCCTGCTGAGGTACCAGGCTGTGAAGAAGCAGGAAACAAGCCTATGAGCCCCTCTGCCACAGACACACCTTGGACCTTTGTTTCATCAAAACAAACTCTGAAGTTCCTGAAACAAGGATCTGCTAACACAGTGGTCCCCAACCATATTGGCAACTGAGGCCAATTTCATGGAAAACAATTGTCCCATGGACCGGGGTTGGGGATAGTTTTTATACTGTGATATATAATACAATATATAGTCTGTATTTACAGCCACTCCCCTCACTAGCATCATTGTCATAGCTCCACCTCAGATCATCAGGCTTTAGATTCTCACAAGAGCATGCAACTGAGATCCTTCACATGTGCAGTTCACAGTTCATGCTCTCCTATAAGAATCTAATGCCTCTGCTGATGACAGGAGATGGTGCTCAGGTAGTAACATGAGCAATGAATGGCTGAAAATATAGATGAAGCTTCACTGGCTCACCCGCGCTCACCTCCTGCTATGCAGCCAGATTCCTAACAGGCCATAGACTGGTACCAGCCTGTGGCCTGGGGGTTGGGGACTGCTGTACTAAAAGATTTGTGAATTCAGAGGGAATAAAATTAAGAATATAAAAGAAAAATATAAAATTAATTTAGAAAATAAATATTATTAATTCTAAATTTACTTACCATTGAGCAAAATACAAGCCTGGTTGGTAGAGCTTGTGGGACTCCCAGCCTCAGATCCCTGCCAGCACTTCCTCACTACTTATATTGAAGGGAGAAAGAAACACTTGTGTGGGAATTTGGATTCATATTGGAGCTAGTCTATTAGAACATTAGTTCTTGACCTAAAAAGTGGCTTCTGTTGGCCCTAACATTTGTTATACTTCTGTTCCACAACCCTTTTCGACTTCTCCAATACTACAGTAATACTGGGCCTAAATATCTGAGCACCTACTCTTATGTAGTGCTGTTTTGATTAAGCCCTAGTCTCGTATTTTCTTTCCACTGCATCAGTGTGACAGACTTTAGTATGCATCAGAATCACATAGAGGGTTTGTTAAAACAGATTGCTGGGCCCAACTCCCAGTCTATGATTCAGAAGGTGGGGAGAAGCCTAAGAAGCCTCATTCCTGTTTCCCAGCTGATGCTGATGTTGGTGGTCTGAGGTCCATACTTCAGAACCACATAATGGAAAGACAGTAGAAGGATCAAAAGTTCCAGAGTCAGAGAAAGGGTGCTGGGGTCCAAAATTTGACCCCTTAAAGTTACATGCCCTGGGGCAAATTTCCTCGCTCATAAGCAAAGTAATACCTACCTTACATGGTTTATATAATGAACCAACAGCATGCCATGTATAAAGGTCTTAACAGTGTCTCACACATAAGAAATGTACCACACTCTCCCCATTCTGAACCCTTATGATATCCTTCATTGGATTTCAGAATTATCTTACCATAATTTTTCTCCATTTCCATGTAGGAAATACTACAGTACTTCCTCTGTATCCTAACAAACTTCTCTAATGTATTTCTCCTTTATCCTGTATTAAACACCTAGATCTCTTTCTTTAGCAAAGTTAGCTTGTTTTAACAGTTGTTCTACATTAACATATGTACCTAGTCTTCTAGCAGTTATGTAGCAAATATTATCTTTTTTGCACATTATATTCTAGAACAGCTCACTTTTTCCCTAAGCAAAAAGCAATCTCTCTCTCCTTGTTTTTTTTAAGTTTTATTGTTTTGTTGTGTAAATGTATTAAATTCATTTGTTTCTTTTCCTACCTTGGGATATCTCCCTCTTCTTCTCTATATGTGGAAAAGACTTAGCTGATAGAGCCTCATTTCTATTAAAAAAATAAATAACTTTTAAAAAAACAAAGCAGGTCTTACATAGCTCAGTTTACTAGTCCTACCAAATTTCCCAAGTTTCTTCTGACCATTTATCAATAAGATATTCTCCTACAGATAAGTTATACAGCCCTTTTATAATGTTACTAAATTCCTCTAAAACAAACAAAAAACAAGAAAAGCACCTCCCAACAATGGAACAAAAAAAGCATCTGCTTCACAGTAATGTTTCCAATTCTCCTAAATGAATAAATATACCAAGGTAGACAAACCCACTACAAAAAAAATCTTCAAAGTGAAAAAATTACTATAAAATCTTAATTATGTTATACCCATATAAGACTCTGCAAAACAAATATATATATGTGTGTGTGTATATATCCTTCTAAATATCCTTCTGTTGTTTTATAGAACATGTTTATACAAAGCATTAGTGAATACTAGGAAATTATTGCTTGAGTGGCATAGTATTAACAAGGCCGAAACCTATGTAAAACAATCAAGTAAGTGTAAACTAACAACAATTATGTAATCAAATTTCATCTCCCTCCTGTGGATTATAGATCATGTTGCTGTTGTTATTGTTTTCATTATGAAAAATGTACTTCAGGCACACAGTCTAAAATCTCCATGAATTAAAAGATATACCATACCTTCACAGTATAATTGAAGTATTTGGCTGATTGCATAAATCGATGGAATCCATCACTTTCTTTTGTTGCTACAGTTATGACCAATAATTTATCTGCAAAGACAGAAGGAATAACATAAGACAGTTTACTAAGAGTCTAACTACTCACACTTTACAGAGATCACTATAGTGATTAGAGACCCCATTAAACCCATGGGAATGTTCTGGTTTGTTAGTCTACATGAGGCTAAACAAAGAGCTGTTGAAAAACTAGGCAATTAAAATTGGTTCTATTACTACCAAATGACAGACTGTCAAATAATGAATTATTTTAATGGTAAGAAAGTATATTAATATTTACAATAAAGCATGCCCTCAATGGAGGATTTCAGCACTAACAGAAACACTTCCATAAAATTGCACAAGGTTTTATCTGTAAAGAGAAACTCTCCTACATATTACTTAATCAATCAGCTTTATTGCCACCTATAAATCATCGCTGATGAATACACATATCCATTAGGTTCAGAAGGACATTACATTCCTCAAAGCACACATACAAAACAAAAAGATCTGATCATGAGATTAATCCTAACTTTTTCAAATAACTTATGACAAATTGGGAAAAAATACTTAGAAACAGAATCTTAATATTTTTCCTATCAAAGAATGTTTGTAAATGTGAAGTTTATAAAATCCACATTTATATCACCTTCAGTGTTTTGTTTTTTCTTTAAAGAATAAAAGGAAAATAAATAAATAAAGAACAAAAGGAACCGAAATCAACACTGCCCTAGCAAATACACAGCTTTGAGTCATCATTTTATAATGGATTATTATTTTCAACCTAACAAAACACCTCTTCTTAATAGAAGAAAATATATTTACGAAGTCATCTCAAATTACCTATAGAAGCTATTAAGGAAAAATGCTTATCAGGAAAAGATATGTTGGACAAATGCAAAAAAGAAACAAACGCATCAGAAAACCCCAAAGGTGCTAGAGCATTTTCTTTTTTAAACCTTAGGGTATCGGAGGACCAGTGGATTAAGAAAGCAAAACCTTAGGGTATCAGGGGACCAGTGGGCTAAGAAAGCAAAATTAACTGAGAAAACAAAATGTCTTTTTGACATTCTAAGCACTGAGTTATGTCATTTGACTCTCAATTACTGTTATTAATAAGAAAAAATTTACAGTGTTAAGTATCTCCTAAACAATAGACAACCATTGAAAATGAAATACATAGCATTAATGTATTATAACAATTAAAAACTATTTCATATGATCCAAGGTAATCATCAAATTTTGAAAATAAACAAAATATAAATAAGTGTAACACACTTATTGAAATCAATTCAAGCAAGTCAATCAACAAAAAGGAAAACATTACCATGAAGATAAATATTAACACTCATATATTTTTCTAGAAATGTGTATTTCTCACATAACTTTCACCATTATGAGAAACAGATATTCAAGCAAAAATAAAAGTCATTTTCAATAAAGCTGTCAGCAATTTTCCAATAAATTATTCTTTTTTAAAAAACAAAAATTCATTTGTTTCAAACAGGGCTTAATCAATTAAGAAAACTTGACATATTATCATTCACAATAAATTCTGAATAAAAGAATACTAGATTCTATTTCATAAGAGTAAAGGAAATATTTTTTAAGTACTCTTTGCTATCATAAAATGACTGTATTTAAAGACAGCTTTATTAGCTTTTTCTACATAAATCATAGAGTATTAGCTATAAGTTTACAGATTTTGCCTAGATGTATCTTTATACTTATAATTTTCAGCACAAAATTAACAGCAAGGATTTCACCATCCTTAATAGGAAAGTAATGTTGGCCAGACCCTCAGGCAGACAGAAATATTACCTAATCTAATGACTCAGAAGGCAAAACTAAAAATACGTAGCCTGACTGTGTCTGGCAATCCTATGCCAAATAAGGACTCCTGTTGTTTCAGTATTATTGCTAATTACAAAAAAGCAAAACCAAGTTAATAAATAATTTCATCAAAGAAAGTTCTCATCAATAATATTACATACAAATGTTTGTTTCTTCTTACCTGCTAATAGTATTATAACTGTGAGAAAAATTTACTAAACTAGGGGAAGTAAAAGAAGAAAGTGCTGACATGTACCATTCACAAGTTCTTGCCAGCCAGTAGTTCAACAGTTCAACTTGCCCACTGTCTTATGACGTATTATTGTTAAAAACTTTAAGCTACATTTAACAGGATTCCAGGAATTCCAGGAAAATTCGTACCATAAGTTTACCAGAAGTATTAGAACAGAAGACCACTGATCTCCAGAATCAATGTCAAAAGAGAAAAAGAGGAAAGGGAAACTAACATACCATATCCCACCAGAATTAAGAGACCAGGCAACCAAACATAATCACTGCCTTTATTAGGGTCCTGACATGGAAAGTCGACTACTAATAAGGTATCTGTGAGAAAATTGGGGAAATTTGAACACCAACTTATATTTGTAAATATTAAGAAACTATTGCTCATTTTAGCATGCTAATAATGGTGCTGATATTTTTTAAAGGGTCCTGATAATTTAGAGAAAATATTCAAGTATTTATCCAATGAAAGGATATAGTGTTTGTGATCTGTTTTAAAATTCTTAGGGGTAGATAGGAGGCAATGGAGGAGGAAGATAAAAAATTAGACAAGATTGCCCACATATGATGATGCTTAAAACTGAATTCCATTTACATATGTTTGGAAATTCCTACAATTAAAAAGCATTATCCATAATATTCCAATCTGAAAAATATTCAATGTAAAACTTGTTTTAACAGTCTGAAAAGGAAAAATGGAATAGACAGAAAAAAATTTTCTAAACAAAGAGTATTATAATTTAAACAACTATAATTAGTACCTTACCCAATCCACCCACAACAACCAAAAGGATCAAGTGAGATGTTGAGAAAATGGGCTTGACAAATGGACACCCATCAACCACTAACAAAACCAGTCTAAGAATGTGGTAAAGAAAAGATAAGCCCAAATCTGGCCAAATATAACCTCGAGAGCCACGGCCTGACTCTGTCAGAAAGTGGATTAATGCAGTTACCACGAGCAAGAAACATGTAAGGCATCAATAGAGTGTGGTCGATGTGAACCGTTTATCAAATGAAAATCATATCAGAGCCAAAAAAAAAAATCCTTCTATAATCATATATACAAAGTCCACCAAAATACCTAGCACTATAGTAAGGTTTAATAAATATTTTAGTGGCTTAATACTTAGCTCTCTAGAAAAATTTAGATGAATAACACAACTTCTCCAAAAATCAAGACAATTTATTTAGAAAGGCAAAAACAAACAAACAAACACAACACTATGTTCTCTCTCAATAAATTTACAACTCAGAGAAAAACGCATTGTTAGAGTCATGTTTTTTGTCTAGATGTTGATTTAATAACAGAATTTATCAATTTTTAGTGTTGACCTAAATTTTCTTTCCAAAAACAAATCATAGCTTTAAAATAGAAAGTTTTTGGCTTATGTGTCCTATCTCCAAATGATTCTCTGATCAGCCCATAAATCCAGATGAAATTCATTGTCTTAATGACAGGCAGCACATTCAGTAACTCAGCACCAGCCCAGCTACCTTTGATCTTACTCAGAGGGATAAATCTCCTATCTTGCCAAGAAACTTTCTCTACACTCAGTCTTAATTTTAAATTTGCAAAAATCAAAAAAAGAAAAAAAAAATTCTACCCGAGAAGGAGCTCTGAGTACATTGCCCTTACTCTGCTATAACTCATTTTATGAAAGAAGTATCTTTCATCTTTAAAACTCAGTGGTGCTCAACTTTCTATTCAAGGAACACATTTTCTAGGAATGGTTATCATAAGAGCCAGCAAACTTTCACTGTAAAAGTCCAAATAGTAAATATTTTAGGCTTTGTAGTCTATATGTAATCTCTGTCACGATTCTCTTTTTTCTTTCTTCTTTAAAACATTTCTAAAATTTTATTTATTTATTTATTTTTTTAGGTTAGATTATAATCATCTGAAGCACAGGATAACCAAGGAGCAAAATTCCATTCTGGTACAACACCCAATTTCTAGAAAAGAGAAAGAAAATGATTCAATATGAGCCTTTTTTTTTTTTTTTTTGATCAGAAGACTCAATGGGAGGGGAAGGGTGGGAATACGAATCCACGTGATTTTTCAAGTCTTCCTTTTATACAGTCATTAAGATGACCAGGTTTGTGCTGCAGAGAAGTCAGCACCGTGTGGCTACGGCTCTGATTGTTCTCAGATGAATGTTTATACAAAATAATATCTTATCTTCATTTAGTTTATAAACATACACAGTGCTGTCCCTTTCAAATTAAAGGAAAAAAAAAAAACCCACACACAAATACTGCAAAGTAGCAAAATACAAAGAAAAAAAAAGCTACTTTTGGTTTTGGCAACATTAAAAAAAAAATTTTTTTTTTAAATTTCTAGGTTTTCTGGCTGGCTGCATAAAAACAGTTATGGGCCGGATTTGGCCTAAACATTATAGTTTGCCACTGTGGTTGGCCATATGGATATGACAACAAACTATATGGGTTCCAGTCTCAGACCTACCACTTACTACTTGTTTGAAATTGGTCAGTTACTTAAAGCCTGTGTCTCATGTTTCTCACTTATAATATAAATGTAATAATAGCACCTGATAGGCTTGCTGTGATGATTAATAAGTTAATGTATACAAAGTGTATGATACTACATATGTGTTAGACAGTGTCTTACTTTTTCTCCTCAAAAGATAAATGTGTAAGGGAGGTTGTAGTCGAAATGCAAATCTCAGCAAGTTATATAACTCAATCTCCACCTCTATCAGTTATTTATTCAAGAGCTGAATGTCTTTTTTATCATTAATTAATTTTTAGTGGAGTACAGTTGCTTACAATGTTGTGTTACTTTCTAAAGTACAGCAAAGTGAATCAGATACATGCATACATATATCCTCTCTTTTTAAAGTCACCACAGAGCACTGAGTAGAGTTCCCTGAGCTGTAGAGGAGATTCTCTGTTGTTGTTCAGTAGCTCAGGCCTGTCTGATTCTTTGAGCCCCATGGACGGTAGCATGTCAG